ATTATTCATTAGACGTGAACCTCAGTCAACTGAACATTCAAATTGGCTGGCGCTGATGGTTGACACGGATGGCTGCCAGCATCCTAGGTGTCAACCAGGTACCTCTTTAAAATATAAGATGTTCCGAGTAGCGCAGTTTTTTGTAGCATTGCTGGAGTTATTGCAGGAAGCTGCAGTTTCTTGATGTGTTTTTGCAAAGCATTATTATTATTATTATTATTATTATTATTACTACTACTACTACTACTACTACTACTACTACTACTACTACTACTACTATTATTATTATTATTATTATTATTATTATTATTATTATTATTATTATTATTATTATTATTATTATTATGGCACAGTCAGCCAGATGTTCAGACTGGATTTGGCCTTTTTGTCTACCTATCGAGTCCTTCCCAAGGACCTGGGATAGGCAGATGTGGATGTTTGATGGGATTACAGATACCGTCACAGGATGGAAGCAGTTCCTAGTAAGGCCGCCTTTTGCAATTGACTAATGGAGAATTTGTCAATGCCGATGATGGTGTCCAAGTGGTGCTCCAGCTGTTTTGGGATTGCACCCAAGGCGCCTATTACTATTGGTACCACCCTTGCTTGCCTTTGCCACAGTCTTTCTACTTCTATTTGTAGGTCTTTGTATTTTGTGATCTTCTCCAGTTCTTTCTCGTCTATTCTGCTGTCTATTGTTGTTGTTGTTGTTATTATCATTATCATCATTATCATTATTTCCTGATTTCTGACTCTCATTTAGGAAGGCTTTGTGATACCCGATGAAGGAGCCCCTCCGGAGGACCAAGAGGAGTATTAACAACTTTAACCAGCCGAGCAGCAGCAGCAGCAGCAGCAGCCTCAGAAGTCAGAAATCTTTGCCCCCCCCCCCAATCATGTGTTTATCTGTAAAATACTCCATTTTATTCTTACAGGACTTAACTGGTTTCTTTTCAAAAGTTAAAAAAACAAAACAAAAAAACAAAAACACACACACAAAGAATTAAGTACTTCTCCAAGTGCACTTTGCGTAAGTTTTACTACTTTCCACCCCACCCTCACTGACGGGTTGTTATTATTTTTATTATTATTATTATTTCCCCCCCCCCCTTCTCGCTTTTCATATCGGAACGGTGTTATCCACATCAGTGGTGGAAGGCTTTGGCCTTTCTGTCGGGCCCTAAAATTGAGAGAGGATTTGCGGCGCGGTGTGTTTGTGGTGGAGTGTGGGGAAGAGGGCGGGTGAAGCAGGAGAGGCTCCCTAAGGATTTTTTTTGGGGGGGGGTGTCTTTTCGGCAGGGGGTTCGTCGTGTAGGGAGAGGAGGGGGGGCTGAAGTGGTGCGTCCTGGCGACCGTTCCCAGGAAAGCGACGGAGGAGAGTCGAGGTGCTCAAAAAAGAGAAGTAGAGCTTAGGAAAGGATTGTTTGGGCTGCTCGTGGGAGTTGGGGAGTTGTGTGGAAGTGGGCCAGCATGGCTGAGGGCGTCGTAGGAGAATGGACTTTGTAGTAGGCTCCGGTTGCAAAAAAAAAAAAAAAGCTGAAGCAGGTGCCCGAAACCCCTCTTGTCTTCTTGTGGCCCAACGCAATAAGAGCTTTGGGCCACAAGAATAGAAGTCTCTGTTCTGGGCCGCTTTGAAGACGGGTGGACTTCAACTCCCAGAATTCCCCAGCTGGGGAATTCTGGGAGTTGAAGTCCACCCGTCTTCAAAGTGGCCGAAGTTGGACACTTCTGAGTAAGATCCTCACTCCTCGCCCGAATCTTCTTTCTCCCCCCCCTCACCCCAGCCCCTGCTGCTCCACCTCTGCTCCACTCGAGACGGGGGTCCCTCTCTTCCTCTCTGCCTCCCCCCACTCCCTCTGCTTCCAAAGCCACTGCCCAAAGTGAAAAAAAAACCACAACAACACACTTGTTGTTTTGGATAGCAGCTGCCATCCTCTCTCACCGAGCTAGGATAGTAAAACGGGGAGTCTGCGCCTGAAGGATTGGAGAGGGCACACCTGGGTGTAACGCTCCGCTCTCGCTGGACAGGACTGGCGAGTTAGTTTGCAGCCCGCGCCAAGAACTGCCTGGGTGGGCGCGCAATGCCTCCGTTGCAGCCCTCCCCCCTCTGAGTTACCTGCGCAGGTGCCGCAGAGAAAAAAGAGAGAAAAAATGGCGCATTAAATAGGTGATCTGATATAAGAGTGCTCCGGTGAATTTTGATTATTGCAGTATTCTTTGCTTGATCCTCTCTCCCCCCCCTCCCCTCTTGTGCAGAGCAAGCCTCCTCCTCCTCCTCCTCCTCCTCCTCTCCCCAATGGCTGCTCCTTGGGGGAGGGGGATTTGGGAGGTTTCGGACCTCCCACCCCGTCCCCCACCCCGTTCCCCCTCGCCACAGCAAAGACTAAGCTTCCGGCTTGGTGCGTTCCTTTCGTCCGTTTGCTTCCGGTGATTGTGTGTCTCGAATTTGTGTGTAGAAAAAGAAAAGAGTTAACGGTAACTTGTTGTGTAGTGCATGATTTCCTTAATGACCGTTCAGCGGGAGACCCACGTTTTGACGAATGCCAAAAAGAAAAAAAGAAAAAGGAAAAAAAAAAAAACGAAAGAAGGGAAAGACAGAAAGACAGACAGAAAGAAAAAGAAAGCCATTATTTAAAACATCAGAGGGTGCTAGTTCTCTTGTGGCCTTCTAAGACACGTTTTGCCCTAAACGATATTCAATCCAGAGCTCCTTTTGACAGGGTTTTTTTCTACTTTTAAACAGTTTCTAAATAAAGTTCTGTTATTTCAAGAACGTGGTGTCGTCTAGAGTATCGTGTTCGTGCAAGGGGTGTTTTCGTTTTCCCCCTCAAGGTCTTTTCCGTTGACCCTCAAAGTTCTCTGCTCTTTTTTGTTCACATCGTCTTTGGTCCGCGGTGGTTCACAGCGCCTGGGTGTAGCTAGCGTCGGTCTCTGGACCAGCATCTTCGGGGTGAATTCAAAGCCACGTCGGCCTGCTCTTAAAGGCACCAGGCTAGAAAGTGGGAGGCGGTGAGTTCTAGTCCTGCCTTCGGCACAAAAGCCAGCTGGTGGAGGCAGGGCCAAACCCCAGGAAACTGGGAGTTCTAGTTCTGCCTTAGGCGAGGAAGGCGGCTGGGTGATTTTGGGGCCAGTCACCAGGAGACGGTGAATTCTAATCCCGCCTTCAGCCTGAAAGACAGCTGGGTGACTTTGGGCCAATTGCTAGGAGGCTGGGAGTTCTAGTCCTGCCTTAGGCCCAAAAGCTGGCCAGACGACTTTGGGACAATTACCAGGAGACTGGGAGTCCTAGTCCCACCTTAGGCACAAAAGCCAGCAGGTGGAGACTGGGAGTTCTAGTCCTGCCTTAAGCAATAAAAGCTGACTGGGTGACTTTGGGCAATCACTAGGAGACGGTGAGTTCTACTTCCGCCTTAGGCATGAAAGCCAGCTGGTTGACTTGGGCCAATCACCAGGAGACGGTGAGTTCTAGTTCCGCCTTAGGCATGAAAGCCAGCTGGTTGACTTGGGCCAATCACCAGGAGTTGGTGAGTTCTAGTCCTGCCTTAGGCACAAAAGCCAGTTGATGGAGACTGGAAGTTCTAGTCCTGCCTTAGGCACAAAAGCCAGTTGGTGGAGACTGGGAGTTTTAGTCCTGCCTTAGGCACAAAAGCCAGTTGGTTGGTGGAGACGGTGAGTTCTAGTCCTGCCTTAGGCACAAAAGCCAGCAGGACTAGACTGGGAGTTCTAGTCCTGCCTTAGCAATAAAAGCTGACTGGGTGACTTTGGGTCAATCACCAGGAGATGGTAAGTTCTAGTTCCACCTTAGGCATGAAAGCCAGCTGGTTGACTTGGGCCAATCACCAGGAGACTGGGAGTTCTAGTCCTGCCAGGCACAAAAGCCAGTTGATGGAGACTGGGAGTTCTAGTCCTGCCTTAGGCACAAAAGCCAGTTGGTGGAGACGGTGAGTTCTAGTCCTGCCTTAGGCACAAAAGCCAGTTGATGGAGACTGGGAGTTCTAGTCCTGCCTTAGGCACAAAAGCCAGTTGATGGAGACTGGGGAGTTCTAGTCCTGCCTTAGCAATAAAAGCTGGCTGGATGACTTTGGGCTAATCACCAGGAAACGGTGCGTTCTAGTCCCGCCTTAGGCCCAAAAGCTGGCTGGGTGACTTTGGGCCAATCACCAGGAGAGGGTGAGTTCTAGTTCCGCCTTGGGTACGGCTGGGTGACCTGGCTGAGTGAGCTCACGATGCTCCAGGGAAGAGGAGATCTTGGTTTTCACAACACTCCTGCGTGGCCTAGTCTGGGAATGAAAGCAATTTTTGACCAACCCATCAATAGACTCTTCCATCTTCTACCTTCGCCTGCATCGATAGAAGAAAATGGATAAAAAGCCAACGTTGGTCTTGATTAAGAAACAATACACCCGTTTCAACTCAGGGCAAGATGGATTGTAGAGACCGTCTTGAGGACAGGCGCCAAGTGTTCTAATCCGTGTTTTGTATGCCTGATTAGACACGTCAACATTCGTAACGACTGCAATGTACAAATAGATCAAGCAGAAGTAGTCCTCGACTTAATGACCGCAGCTGGGACTCGAATTTATATTGCTAAGCGAGACGGTTAAGTGAATCACACCTGATTTTACGGTGGTTTCTTTTTTGCTGTGGTTGTTAAACAAATCACTGCAGTTGTTAAACCAATCGCAGGGCCATTAAGGTGGTGAGGTTCGTGGGAGAAGACCCGCAGGTGAAGGTGGTAGGACCGGGTCATGGTGGGTTAGTGGACAAAATAACTGCTCTACAAAGTAAGACACAATGACGTAAGGCTTGATGCTCTGAGATGAGATCACCAGGGTGTTGGTGTTGGTTACTCCTCCCATGGTCCTAATGAAAGAAGGGTATGATGGTTCTACATCTATGGAGATTCTCCATCCAGGTCATGTTTTTTTTTTCAGGAAGCAACTGGACTTTCTTGTTTTCCTTTGAAGATGTTTCGCTTCTCATCTAAGAAGCTTCCTCAGGTTCTGACTGGATGGTGGGGAACGGAAGGACACAGAAAACCGCTAAATCAGAGGTCTCCAATCCTTCTCGGTTGGCAGACCGGAGGGAAAGGGAGAAGGAAGCATTTTACGCGTACATGCGTGCACACACACAAATGGGGCTGCGAGCACATGTGATGCAAATGGGGCGGTGCTAGTGCCCACATGACACTCACTAGCACTGCCCTGTTTTTGCCGCGCACCGCCCCGTTTGCCTAGCAGCGACACTAGTGCGAGTAAGGGTGACTGCATGCACAGATTATGCGTGCACCGGCCAGCCTGTCCCGTGGCCCGTTGGCCAGCAGGTCGTGGTCCAGTAATGGGCCACAGCCCACAAGTTGGGGACCCCTACTCTAAATGGCCTGAACGACTCTCTAAAAGAAGGCAAATGACCAGCAGTCTGTAAGGAGTATAAATCCTTCCATTCCCCACCATTCAGTCAGAACCCGAAGAAGCTTCTGGGATGAGAAGCGAAACATCTTCAGAGAGAAAAACAAGAAAGTCCAGTTGCCTGGTGAGGAATGGAAGGATTTATATTCTTGGTAGTCATCTGGTTGTTAGTACTCTTTCTGAGAGTCGTTGGGGCCACTTGGGCTTTATTTGTTTATCCTGTATCCAAGTGGCCTCAACGATTCTCAGGAAGAGTACTAACGAGCAGATGACTACAAAGCATATAAATCCTTCCATTCCCCACCATCCGGTCAGAAGTGAAGAAGCTTCTTGGATGGGAAGCGAAACGAAACACGAAAGTCCAGTTGCCTTCGTGAAAAAGCACCTTTGGGATGGTCCTACATGTTTCTTCTCTCTTCTCCAGAATTATGTACGTTCAATCCAACAGCAGTTGCAGAAGCTGCCCACCCCATACGAAGAGAAAGGATTGGGGGGTGTGTGTCTAGAGGTGGCAAATCACTTCATGCCT